CCACATCCACCACACACAGGCCTTCCTCCCACATCTAGCTGACACAGGCCTTCCTCCCACATCCACCACACAGGCCTTCTTCCTACATCCACCACACACAAGTCTACCTTCCACATCCACCACACACAGGCCTTCCTCCCACACCCACCACACACAGGTCTTCCTCCCACATCTAGCTGACACGGGCCTTCCTCCCACATCCACCACACGGGCCTTCCTCCCACATCTAGCTGACACAGGCCTTCCTCCCACATCTAGCTGACACAGGCCTTCCTCCCACATCCACCACACACAGGTCTTCCTCCCACATCCACCACACACAGGTCTTCCTCCCACATCTAGCTGACACAGGCCTTCCTCCCACATCTACCACACAGGCCTTCCTCCCACATCTAGCTGACACGGGCCTTCCTCCCACATCTAGCTGACACAGGCCTTCCTCCCACATCTAGCTGACACAGGCCTTCCTCCTACATCTACCTGACACAGGCCTTCCTCCCACATCTAGCTGACACAGGCCTTCCTCCCACATCCACCACACACAGGCCTTCCTCCCACATCTAGCTGACACAGGCCTTCCTCCCACATCCTCCACACACAGGCCTTCCTCCCACATCCACCACACACAGGCCTTCCTCCTACATCCACCACACACAAGTCTACCTTCCACATCCACCACACACAGGCCTTCCTCCCACATCCACCACACACAGGCCTTCCTCCCACATCCACCACACACAGGTCTTCCTTCCACATCTAGCTGACACAGGTCTTCCTCCCACATGTAGCTGACACGGGCCTTCCTCCCACATCCACCACACGGGCCTTCCTCCCACATCTAGCTGACACAGTCCTTCCTACCACATCTAGCTGACACAGGCCTTCCTCCCACATCCACCACACACAGGTCTTCCTCCCACATCTAGCTGACACAGGTCTTCCTCCCACATCTAGCTGACACAGGCCTTCCTCCCACATCTACCACACAGGCCTTCCTCCCACATCTAGCTGACACGGGCCTTCCTCCCACATCTAGCTGACACAGGCCTTCCTCCCACATCTAGCTGACACAGGCCTTCCTCCCACATCTAGCTGACACAGGCCTTCCTCCTACATCTACCTGACACAGGCCTTCCTCCCACATCTAGCTGACACAGGCCTTCCTCCCACATCCACCACACACAGGCCTTCCTCCCACATCTAGCTGACACAGGCCTTCCTCCCACATCCTCCACACACAGGCCTTCCTCCCACATCCACCACACACAGGCCTTCCTCCTACATCCACCACACACAAGTCTACCTCCCACATCCACCACACACAGGCCTTCCTCCCACATCCACCACACCGGCCTTCCTCCTACATCCACCACACACAGGTCTACCTCCCACATCCACCACACACAGGCCTTCCTCCCACATCTAGCTGACACAGGTCTTCCTCCCACATCCACCACACACAGGTCTTCCTCCCACATCTAGCTGGCACAGGTCTTCCTCCCACATCTAGCTGACACGGGCCTTCCTCCCACATCCACCACACGGGCCTTCCTCCCACATCTAGCTGACACAGGCCTTCCTCCCTCATCTAGCTGACACAGGCCTTCCTCCCACATCTAGCTGACACAGGCCTTCCTCCCACATCCACCACACACAGGTCTTCCTCCCACATCTAGCTGACACGGGCCTTCCTCCTACATCCACCACACGGGCCTTCCTCCAACATCTAGCTGACACAGGCCTTCCTCCCACATCTAGCTGACACAGGCCTTCCTCCCACATCTAGCTGACACAGGCCTTCCTCCCACATCCACCACACAGGCCTTCCTCCCACATCTAGCTGACACAGGCCTTCCTCCCACATCTAGCTGACACAGGCCTTCCTCCCACATCCACCACACAGGCCTTCCTCTCACATCTAGCTGACACAGGTCTTCCTCCCACATCTAGCTGACACAGGCCTTCCTCCCACATCCACCACACACGGGCCTTCCTCCTACATCCACCACACACAGGCCTTCCTCCCACATCGACCACACATAGGCCTTCCTCCCACATCGACCACACACAGGCCTTCCTCCCACATCCACCACACAGGCCTTCCTCCCACATCCACCACACACAGGCCTTCCTCCCACATCTAGCTGACACAGGCCTTCCTCCCACATCCACCACACACAGGCCTTCCTCCTACATCCACCACACACAGGCCTTCCTCCCACATCCACCACACACAGGCCTTCCTCCCACATCTAGCTGACACAGGCCTTCCTCCAACATCCACCACACACAGGCCTTCCTCCCACATCCACCACACACGGGCCTTCCTCCTACATCCACCACACACAGGCCTTCCTCCTACATCCACCACACAGGCCTTCCTCCCACATCCACCACACACGGGCCTTCCTCCCACATCCACCACACACAGGCCTTCCTCCTACATCCACCACACACAGGCCTTCCTCCCACATCCACCACACACAGGCCTTCCTCCTACATCCACCACACACAGGCCTTCCTCCCACATCCACCACACACGGGCCTTCCTCCTACATCCACCACACACAGGCCTTCCTCCCACATCCACCACACACAGGCCTTCCTCCTACATCGACCACACACAGGCCTTCCTCCCACATCTACCCCACACAGGCCTTCCTCTCACATCCACCACACACAGGCCTTCCTCCCACATCCACCACACACAGGCCTTCCTCCCACATCCACCACACACGGGCCTTCCTCCTACATCCACCACACACAGGCCTTCCTCCCACATCTAGCTGACACAGGCCTTCCTCCCACATCCACCACACACAGGTCTTCCTCCCACATCTAGCTGACACAGGTCTTCCTCCCACATCTAGCTGACACGGGCCTTCCTCCCACATCCACCACACGGGCCTTCCTCCCACATCTAGCTGACACAGGCCTTCCTCCTACATCTAGCTGACACAGGCCTTCCTCCCACATCCACCACACACAGGTCTTCCTCCCACATCCACCACACACAGGTCTTCCTCCCACATCTAGCTGACACAGGCCTTCCTCCCACATCTACCACACAGGCCTTCCTCCCACATCTAGCTGACACGGGCCTTCCTCCCACATCTAGCTGACACAGGCCTTCCTCCCACATCTAGCTGACACAGGCCTTCCTCCTACATCTGGCTGACACAGGCCTTCCTCCCACATCTAGCTGACACAGGCCTTCCTCCCACATCCACCACACACAGGCCTTCCTCCCACATCTAGCTGACACAGGCCTTCCTCCCACATCCTCCACACACAGGCCTTCCTCCCACATCTAGCTGATACAGGCCTTCCTCCCACATCCTCCACACACAGGCCTTCCTCCCACATCTAGCTGACACAGGCCTTCCTCCCACATCCACCACACACAGGCCTTCCTCCCACATCTAGCTGACACAGGCCTTCCTCCCACATCCACCACACACAGGCCTTCCTCCCACATCTAGCTGACACAGGCCTTCCTCCCACATCCACCACACAGGCCTTCCTCCTACATCCACCACACACAAGTCTACCTTCCACATCCACCACACACAGGCCTTCCTCCCACACCCACCACACACAGGTCTTCCTCCCACATCTAGCTGACACGGGCCTTCCTCCCACATCCACCACACGGGCCTTCCTCCCACATCTAGCTGACACAGGCCTTCCTCCCACATCTAGCTGACACAGGCCTTCCTCCCACATCCACCACACACAGGTCTTCCTCCCACATCCACCACACACAGGTCTTCCTCCCACATCTAGCTGACACAGGCCTTCCTCCCACATCTACCACACAGGCCTTCCTCCCACATCTAGCTGACACGGGCCTTCCTCCCACATCTAGCTGACACAGGCCTTCCTCCCACATCTAGCTGACACAGGCCTTCCTCCTACATCTACCTGACACAGGCCTTCCTCCCACATCTAGCTGACACAGGCCTTCCTCCCACATCCACCACACACAGGCCTTCCTCCCACATCTAGCTGACACAGGCCTTCCTCCCACATCCTCCACACACAGGCCTTCCTCCCACATCCACCACACACAGGCCTTCCTCCTACATCCACCACACACAAGTCTACCTTCCACATCCACCACACACAGGCCTTCCTCCCACATCCACCACACACAGGCCTTCCTCCCACATCCACCACACACAGGTCTTCCTTCCACATCCACCACACACAGCCCTTCCTCCCACATCCACCACACACAGGCCTTCCTCCTACATCCACCACACACAAGTCTACCTTCCACATCCACCACACACAGGCCTTCCTCCTACATCCACCACACACAGGTCTTCCTCCCACATCCACCACACACAGGCCTTCCTCCCACATCTAGCTGACACAGGTCTTCCTCCCACATCCACCACACACAGGTCTTCCTCCCACATCTAGCTGGCACAGGCCTTCCTCCCACATCTAGCTGACACGGGCCTTCCTCCCACATCCACCACACGGGCCTTCCTCCCACATCTAGCTGACACAGGCCTTCCTCCCGCATCCACCACACACAGGCCTTCCTCCCACATCCACCACACATAGGCCTTCCTCCCACATCTAGCTAACACAGGCCTTCCTCCCACATCCACCACACATAGGCCTTCCTCCCACATCTAGCTAACACAGGCCTTCCTCCCGCATCCACCACACACAGGCCTTCCTCCCACATCCACCACACATAGGCCTTCCTCCCACATCTAGCTAACACAGGCCTTCCTCCCACATCCACCACACACAGGCCTTCCTCCCACATCTAGCTGACACAGGCCTTCCTCCCACATCCACCACACGGGCCTTCCTCCCACATCTAGCTGACACAGGCCTTCCTCCCACATCTAGCTGACACGAATGGGTACAACTGACATACTGCTCATAGAGGCATCAAACACATCTCACTCACTCACTCACTGACTTGGGAGAGGGAAGTCAGCCTGTGTTACGATGCTATAATGAATTTACCACAAACATGAACTCATTATCTTTATTGATCACAAAACCAGAATCATTAGTTATAACCTGCTACAACTATTGTTGACATTTACACATGTTCATATATGGTACTAAGTATATGAAAACAACATTTTATCTGAATGCTTCCAGTCAGCACAATCGTCGTACATGTAAGAGAACAAAACACAACTGATTTATTTACACTGGTCTACAAAGTACATTGCATGTATATCACAAAGGGTTTGTGTGAAACAGTCAAATCGGGACAACAAAGGTCAAAGTAAGACACTCAGAATTTAATACTAGCCAGTCACCAAAATTCGACCATTGCACAACAACAAACGAAGAGTGTGTTTGACGCTAGTATAATGTATAGAGTGAGCATAAACTATCAATCAGTCAATCAATTGTAATATTTGTATCGTCACAGTACGAGACAATAATATTTCGACCAACAAATAAATACCTATCATTATATGAGTGTGTGGGTGTCTTACTTTAGGACCCGATCTGTATTTCATCAAATCAACTACAAAACATCAGTGCAAGTGATTAGTCTTGATTATCCGCCGAAACAGATTCCATTTGGGGAGGGCAAACTCACTTGACAATAATGTGAATGAACGACTGAAAATCATTGAATGAAGGAATGGATTTCTTTATCTCCTTATCGCCTTCAGAGTTCCAAAGATCTTACACAGGCAAGTATATTACTTAGATTCCTTGACTGTATATAATGAAATCATGTCACACAGTGCTCATGAATACACAATTTACAATGTACAATGTGAGTGCAGTAAGGTATATGTGACTAGTAGACATAAAGTCGCAGAAAGACAGTGTGATGAATTCCCAAGTGTCATAATCATCTGCCCGAGAAATAACGAAAGCAGATCATCGTCGACAAGCATGTCTTTTTTCACATAAACATCAACATCCTGCTTATCAATCAGACATGAAAAGAAATCATTTCCGTCAGACACGGGGCAATATATTATGGCAAGCATAGTCAAAGCAATGTCTATCACAATGCTTACATTATTTCGACACATTTGATCTTGATCCGGTTTTAATACAAAGTTGCAGGTGTTTTTAAAGTGGATAGAGATGCATTACATTCTACATAACATGCATTTGTAACCGTGTATGAATTATATGGTACTGTGAAAGATCTGGTCTCTGTGCTAGTCTCTCTCTCCAAATGTGTTCAGTCTCTGATAGACGTCTGATTACAAGAGCTCGCCAAGTTGATTTAATTGGGAATGAACCATTGTGTGTATATTCTTTGATCGAGTTGTCTAAATGTTACTTCTTAGCATAGGATGCTGCATATACTGGACGGTTAATATTGTTGTCTCGAATTTACTGACCATCATGTGTCAGAGTGCACACGTGGAACAAAGACGTTGAAGAAAAGATAATGAAAAGGATCACAGACAGTCCCTACCAGAAACTATATACGGAAAACTTTATGGAGACTTATGTACAAGTGCTATATATGCTTTAGTTTGGATCTGGGCTAGTCCTAGGATTTCCTAGGAGCCAAGAAGCCACCCGGGTTGCGTCACGCAGGCTTTATGACCTATGTAAGAAGTCGGTGCAGCACTGTTTCACGTGTTGAAACACTGTGGTCTTCTTAGTATTCTCCAAATAACGTTCGACATGTGAAACGCATTGTGTTGGGGTCTCACATACATGGCGGGCGCGTTTCACACCAGTGACCAACCGGGAATTCAAGGGTTGCGTTATAATGCGTTGAACAGTTGGCCTATTTACCATGCGTGATTTTCCCCTTTGCATCAAGCGGTGCTGTTTTGCGCCATTATCAGTTTCTTCGTGTGTGTTTACAGTGGTGCTTATATCCTCACACGAGCAACACAGTGCACTGAACGGTGTCCAACGCACATCTCTGTAAACTTCAGGATATTTCTTCTTCAGAGAAAATGCAAACCATTTCGGTCTCTTCATCTTTGACAATTGTTTCCATTTTATATCATGTGACAGGTTGGGGGATGACAGGTCTTCTCTCTGCTGATCCGATATGGCGTTCATTTGATACATTACGTCAGCCAGTCGGCGAAGATTCACCTTGCTCCGAATACTACAGAACTTGCAGAGAGATCCATTTGGATCGTGAACAACGAGAAGCGGGAGGGACAATTCCCTTTCAATTTCACACGCTAACTGTGTGTTCACTTCATCATTGCATGCCTTTAGAGCAGGAACAACCGTTGCTGTGAATTGTGAAGAAGTACAGCCATTGCAAAACTTCAGGAAAGCTGCGTTCTTTGCATGAGTAGACGGGCGAGTGAGAATACTGCTCCTGCCTGCCTCTGACAGGACATCTGCTTGAAGTAGCCTGTCAAGAATATCAGTTCCTTCTAACCGCAGATCTTTGGTGAGCACAGGTGATAGCTTCTTGATTACAGTCATGTGACTGTCGGTTGTCGCAGGGCAGGGATCTGAAAATATACGAATATAATTATGAGATAGGAGTTGTTCCTATGACAACCAGATTGGATCTATCTAAGAATATGCATGTGTAAGTATTTGAATGTACGCTAATGATATTGATATTTATCATATAATGGGTAGGTTTCTCATATAAAGCCAACGGATAAAAACGATATCCGTTGGGGTCAAATGCGGATAGAGATGCAAATATCAAAGGTAGGGACTACTTTCAGTGTTTATAAACAAACATGGCGTCGCCCTCGTCATTCGGCGATCGAGTCAGAATTAACCATCGGGAATCTGGATAAACAACAGGGATAATTGCTATCATTTTCAAAAGAACAGTCTAATATACTGAAAATCAGTGTCTAACTGTGACGTAGATAAGGCATTTTATAAGTTTTGGCAACTTTGGAGATATAAATATCGAAACAATTTTGCGAGGGCACGAGGCCTAGCCAAGCGGGATCAGTAGCCATATCTGTGCTTGTAGACCTCTGCGGCTTAAAACCTTCTCCACAAATTAAAATTGTTGGATTTGCCCGAAATATATTTTTATATATTTTTACCTTGTTTCGTTTTGTCGATGTGTGTACATCAGACTACACTTCTTAACGTTATGACAGGACAGGCCGACTGTCAACAACGTCTGAACGTGGCCGTGACGTCTCATAGACTAGGGTTAGAGTAGCTTCCCTTTGACAAAGGGTAGTTACTCTAGCGGACAGACAGATGGATTGCCGCGAAAGGCAACTAAAAACAATTGTTGTTTTGCGTTTATGTTGTTTCGCCATTGTATAAGAAACAGATTTCATTTGGAACTATATTGGCTACTGTCACTGACCGAGTGACACATCACTTACCCTCTGATGTAATACATATTAATGAGCCAAGGCTCGCTAAATACAATGTTTATTCCTAATGCAGGATATTTACCATCCCCAAACACACTCGCGTGATAACCTTTATATATTGACTGAATTCGAACAACTGTCACTTCATAGGCTTGACGTCTGTTTTAAATGGAGTGTGGTCACTTTGAGTGAAGTTGTAAACAGACAAGGGTGTTGTGATAGTAAGGTGGGATGAAGAATGGAATGAGCAATGTTTTATCATGTTTTCAGACTCATCGTGCTGGATGAGACTGTCAGATCTACACCTTTCAGTATATATTTTTACAACCACAAGGAAAAAATTATTGTTCCATCCTGTGTTGTTTCTAGAGTTAAACAGATATCTTTTGCACAGAGTTTAGATGAGTAGATCCTGAAGTACGTATAAAGCTAGCTATGGGGAAATGGTGTTGAAGACAGCTATTGGGAAGTTGTGTTTGAGGCTAGTCAGTGGAAAATGGTGTTTAATGTAGCTAGTGGGGAATGGTGTTGAAAACAGCTAATGGGGAAGGCTGTTGAAGACAACTAATGGGAAGTTGTGTTGAAACTGCCTTGTGGAAAACGGTGTTTAATGTAGCTAGAGGGAAATGGTGTTCGAGACAGCTAATGGGAAGTTGTGTTGAGGCTAGTCAGAGGAAAATGGTGTTTAATGTAGCTAGAGGGAAATGGTGTTGAAGCCAGCTAGTGGGAACGATCAGCTGATCCCTCGCCTCGCTTCGAACGGCTATCAAGTGGTTTACAATTACAATATTAGCAGTCGTCGTCATCACTGCTGTTTCATTGAATCACGGAACGTACATTTCAGGAGATGACAACTTGACAAGGGACAGATCATTGTTTAGGCGAAAGGATCTACTGTCCAAACACCAGCGTTGCCAATAGAGGCAAAGGCTATACCGGTTAACTGTCTATAGGTGCCACAGTAACATCTACCGCTCCTATCGCGCAAAGTGGGCTAGTGAAGGGAACATAAATTGAAAAAGATCGCCAATTTGGGATGTAAATGTTACCAAACCCTCCTTGGTCTTGCGGATATATCCATACATTTTTCCTGAGCGGATGACATTAAGTTCTTAACCCGGATGGCTACTTGTGAATGACAACAGTTTTGTGCGTTGCTGGCTTAATGCAAGCACTCCCCCTAGATGACATGCTTATATTATCACATACTTCGCAAACATTTTCTTCAATTCAGAATCTGCAATAACAGCACTGTGTGCACTCACCTTCGCGGGTTTCACAGGCCAACTGAGCGTGCCTCTGTCCGAAACACTGCATCAAATCGTCATCCATGTGCTCCAATTTAATCTTCATTGCTTTTACGTTTCCTTCAGGTCGACCCTCAGAATGCAGCATTTGCTGCAGTCGATGGGTATGCTGTGTTAAGCTGGCAATGATGCATGTCTTCAAAACATGCTTATTTTCGATCGATGTGTTCTCCAGAGAAGCCCCCTGAAGAACGACAGCTGCTATTTTCGCTATGGCTCTTTCACAAGATGATGCCATTGCCACGATCTAAATAAGAGATTAGTTTCAAATAATTAGACAGTTCGATGCCATGGTTGATTTGCATGTAAAAACAGATGCCTGTTTCCTGTTCCATCATTTGTGATGTCAATAAAGATATCTCAAAACAGTAAAACACCTACTCAGTTATGATGGAGATCTAAAGGGAAGAGTTTCAGAGTGAAAGCAAAACTCATCAAGATGCCAACAGTACACTGTACAGTGTCCGGTCCCATCATGTGACTGTAACAGAAGACCTTGACCCTGTGGTGATTGCCGCACTCCTGACTGCATGTCCAATAACGATATCTCAAAACAGTGAAACACCTACTCATACACCATGATGGTGTAACGCGATCAAACCCCCTACACTAAATCACGATAGATAACATAAGTTCACGACCCACGGCTTGGAACTATATAAAGAAGGGGAAAACCAGAAAGCTGGTAATTACAGCTCGGGATTTCCCAACACGGTTGGATCTATTTATAAAAACATTTCACAAAGTCGCGCTATAAAGTACGACAAACTGTTCCTTTGCACAATACCATGATGTCGCGAAACGCTGTACAATATTAACTAACTTAATCTACTCCAAGAACTGTTCCAGTAAGCAGCTTCATGTTTACACAATGCAGACTCACGAGACAGAATAAACGACTGAACACACAATGCAAATAACTTCTGCAGATTTTTTATGTCATGTATCAGTTTATGATTAGAGTAAACATATAAACATTACGTACTCGTCCTGGTGACAGCAGCCAGTGTCTTACCGGGATACGTCCCGAGAGTGATATGTACTTCCTTCTTTGCGAGCAGCTTGACGACTAAACTAGTTCGTCAGTTGCGATGCGCAATCTCTGACCAAAGTGCACGTCCGAATTCGTACATGCCCTTTCCTGCGTGAGCCTAACGGAAAGGTACCGACTGTATGAATAGAATCGATCGATTTACAGTGAGTTAGTGAATGCAATATGAACAACAGCCAGTGGAGAACCGTGTCGGTTGTTGTTTTCAATATATCTGAAACTTATGTGGTTATGTGAAAACCTGCATTCTTAAGATGATTAATACTTAGGGATAGGCAAGTCACCGTCTGCGCGTCCTGAAACAGTGGAATTGTTCGGCTCCTTACACAGTAAAAATTGCATCGAGATTATCTAGTCGTGATTCAACAGACTGCCGTCATGTAGGTGATATTTTTTGAGTGCGAACCAAACCGACAAACAAACAAACAAACACGGTATGTCAATCTCGAAAATGAATATCACGGCAATTCAAAACATTCGAGAATCAAACAACAGCATCCAAAATAGAAACTCTATAGGGGCTCGCTGCAAACCTCATCAGTGACACCCATAGGGGGTCCATAACAATAAATATGTCGTATTATTTGGTAAATGAAAATGTCATTTACATGCGAAAATAGTCCTTACAAACCCTTGTGTAATTATAAGTTACCAAAACGCCCCGTTAATTTAGCAAGAGGGCGTCGAAGAAGCTTGAAAAGCGTTACTGTAGCTGGTTAGGGTGGTGTAAATCACACAGTTAAGACCAACGCCTGCTGGGGTGAGATGTGACAAAGAAGCCACACGTTTATTATCAATATCAATATTCACCCTGTAACATAACTGAACAAATAATAAGTACATAGTTATACACATTAAAACATTGCACGTATCACCGTTATTGATATAATAAATAAAATGCAGTCACCACATCATTCATAATGTTTTCCATATTACTTCAACTGCATCAGTGCACTTTTATATGCAAGATGTAAATTGTACATACATGAAATATAAAAAATAAATAAATAAATTACTATGCCTACCGAATGTGTGGCACTCAGTTGAAAGAACGCAAAATCACTTGTCACTGCAGATCTATCTATGAATAACATACACATGTCACTCGAACTTAAATATCATAAAATAATATACATAGTAATCTACTGCCATATTAATTCAATCTAAACCTACTACAAACATAATCTCAAATAGAATGTCATTGATAAACCTTAATTAGGCTACATAAATATATACTCTTATCTAATTGCTAACACAACATTACCTGTGCTGCAATATGCTCATAATTATACACAACACACATTTCTCATGGCGGACAATATGGCGGACATAAATACTAATATATGTCGCCTTTATCATAAATTTTTTTTGGTAGTACATTATATCAGAAAATCATAAACATGAATGGTGTGTATATTATCGTTACTGTACTTATGACATAAAATACGTTCATACACTCGAATCACCCAAGTATATCCTACACTAAAATAATGTTTACATTATACATGCTGTACTAACACAAATATTACATCCTACATAATGTTTATAATCTAGTATTAAAACTAACCTTTTGAGAGAAAGATGAAGTTGTGAAAATCCTTGTCACAATATGTGTCAAAATATGCGTCTCATGACGTGACTTAGTGTCTGATCGTCGAAGGGGATGGTCGCACGTAACATCACTCTGAGAAAAAGTGCTACTTATCTCATGCTCTGTACAGCTGTACTACTTGAGGAAGGACCTACTTTCAGCTGAGCATTACAGGAAAACAATGCCGTGAAAACGAGTTTAATGTTATTTTTGGGCAAAATCTGTAAAACTATTTGCAATAACAAAACTATCTCGGCACGCATGTCCAACAATGGAGTCTTCCCTTTAAACAAGGTGTTGGCCAAGGTCGAGTTATGTCAGCATGGTTCTTTCTCGTTTTCATAAATGACCTTATATGCGAACTAAGGAAAGCAAACGATGGCCTCTCTGTTTATGCCATCTATATACCCTGTGTGTAATTGGCCGATGACACAACGCTCTTGTCCGGTACTGATTGGCCAACAATAGAAGAATCCGACGAGGCCTAAAGCACACAGACCAGCGATGAACAGGAACGGAACACTCAAACTGCATCAACAACGATGACCCCTGACACTTCCCAGTGCCAACCCACACCCACACAACCTTCAACGAACGCAAACAGTCATGACAACGAAAAGACTGACAAACAGAGCACATCATACAAGGAGAGAATCTCACAAAATACAACATCAGAAACAACGACTTCAAAACCAAAGGAGAAACCACGTATGGTAGATTTGACGAACACTGATTTTCTGTGGAACGTCTACAATGATAACGTCCATGGTCTAGTGTTTTCCGGCATGGAAGATGGTGACAACTCTCACCCTGTTCATCCTCACTCAGGAAGTCACTCTGGTAAACCTCCAAGCACCTACAAGATCAAGTCACTGGCTAAATCCTACTCGGACCAAAAGAGTTGTACTCTCTAATATCAGGGCAGACAAATCTTTTGATGATGTCAAACAGTTAATCTTTGACTACGAACATGAACGCCACGTACGTGTTACTCATGCACGCCTGCTGAAGAAACGTGTCCACTACGACAATACAGACATACACAGTTCAAGTCAATATGTCGTGTGACGATTATGATTATGTCATTAATGACAAAAAGTTGAAGATATACAATGTCGTGACTACGTTCCGCGCTTCAGGAACTATGAAAAGCACGGTCAGTACAGTGATAACAACCAACGACGTCAGTAGAAAACATGCATTAGTGCTGAAACAAGTGTCCCTTGTGTCTTCAGTTATGACTCTTAGTCTTCTTACCTGGAATGTACGAGGTCTGTTATATGGTGCACGGGGTATAAATAGTGTAATTCCAAACTCAGTGGACATACTGGCTGTTCAGAAACACTGGCTTTCGCCGGATTATGAGTATAGATTTAATGACTAATGTTTTTCAGTTATTACCTATTCATGCAATTCACAATTACTTTCTGCCTGAGGCTCTGGTGGCACAGCTATTCTATGCAATGATACATCCATGTGGAGTGCTAAGTCGCTACATACTAACTCTCATTTCCTTGTAGCTGCTACTACTAATGCTAAGGGTTATATGTTGCCGTCTTCCCTCAACAAACGTCTTACATTCAGTGTATGTTAACGCATTAGATGAACTCAGTGACATGTATGATACTTTAAGTGCCAAAGGTGATTAAAATTCTGATATCCACAGAATAAACATGTCTCCTAGTGATAAGCTACTCCTAAAGGTAATAGATCATAGGCACCTAGTTAGTGTAACTCATAACCTATGCAACACAGGTCCCGGGTATACGTACAGAAGTAAAGACAATGTTTATACATCACTTATTGACTATGCCCTCATACCATCCAACATGCGTAACTGCATCATCCAGTGCAGCATACTTGATCAATGTCAGTACGATACTTCGGATGTCTGCATACAATGTACACATCAAACCCCATCTAATGTGGGAAACAACACATGTTCCAAAGTGGCACAAAGCAGACGAAATACACATAAATATGTATACAAAAGAAGTTGACACACTTCATTCCTCCGTATGTATAGCATCTGACCACATTCAACCTGATGTCATAGAGCATTTTAACGGAGAGCTAAGTAAATGTCTTATGAAGGCCAGCTCTAACCATATCCCCCAAAGTGTGTATAGATCACATTTGAAGCCCTACTGGAAAAATGATGGGTTAAATCAGTCCCACTGTGAAATGAGGGTGGCCAGACGAGAATGGATAGCGGATAATAGACCACGGGGAGGAAACTCTAGATTATACAAATCCTATAAAAATGCAAAAAGGGAATTTAGACGTTTTGTATTAAAATTTTGTATTAAAATGGCATCAAGAGCAAAAGTGTCGACAGAATGTAACCACTGTAATAGACATTGCTGTGACTATGATTGCCATATTATTTTGCACTGTGAAATGTTGATGCCTGACAGAAATAATTTCTTCTCATGCTTGATTGATAAACTTGATGTAGATGTATACGTGAAAATAGATATGCTTGACGATGATGATATGCTTTCATTCTTTCTCGGTGCAGATGTCCATGACATGACGAACGAACTTGATTACGATACTCGGCAAAGCATCATAATGTCTTTCTGCCACTTCATATGGAATTTAAAGAAACACCTTATGTATATCTACTAGATACCTTACTGCTCTCAAAATGTACATCGTAAATTATTTATTCATAGCAGTGTATAACATGATTGCATTGTATATAGACAAGTAATTTCATTGATGTATTGTAAAAATGTATTTGCCCATGTAAAATCTTCGGATTCAACTCTGGAGGAAATAAAGAAATTCATTCATTCATTCATTCAATAAACAGACCTGCCCAAGTTCAGCTTGGAGCAATCTGGCTGTAAACTTGTACCGTACATAATCTAATGCAATACACCAGTTACACTGTCTAAAACCAATACCATATGCCACATTACGAAGGAGGGAGCTCGTGATCGTCCTCACCACAATGGCCGGGTAGGTGTCCG